AGACTTCCCTGAGTCAATCAATCAATCAATCAATCAATCAATCAATTAAGCGTGTGGACTAGGTGTGACACTATTGACACAATCACCTAATACTAATAAAATTGATCCACAAAGCCCAGACTTCTATTAAATCAGTCAATCAAAGATGTAAGTTATGTATGAACACAGAAAGTTTTGGGATTGTTGGAATGCTTTGAGAGTGCTCTCATGAGCCAGATGATTGCACTTGTCATCAGATGCACAAGCCAGGTGGGGAGTAACCTAAGATGGAGTTATCATGCTTCCCCTCTCTCCTGTTGACTATGTCTTTGGAGAGAATGGACCAATAACAATGAATTCAGCCAGGAGCTGAGAAAAACTAGACACATGGAGAGAAGTCAAAATTCAGGATTTTATAGGGGCCCAGACAAGGAACTACATACCTCAGGGGAACTTCATGAGGACTCCAAAATAGGGGAAAAGGACATTCATCTAAACAAGAGTTGTGAGTTACCCCTTTGCCACATGCACTCTCTAAGCTTGAACCCACTTTCCCCCTGGATTCCATGTGTACTTGTGGAAAAATATGTCCCAGACATTTTGGAAAAATGCTGTACTTCAGTATTTGCTATACCTTTTCCATAAATATTTCTTTGTAAAAGAGATTTATATTAATTGGTTAATTGACATTGGGGATATATAACTGATGAAATGACAGTAGTGAGCATTTGGGGTGCTGGTGCTGGTAATAGTATTAGTAAATTCCACTCTTACCCCTTCAGGCTACCCCTATAATCCTTAGGGAAGAAATAGTTAGCTGTCCCTTGAGGACCAGCCTGCCAAAGCCAGTGGGCATTGGGAAATGATCCAGAACCTGTGTTATACTTGTTTTATCCAACTTGTATTTTTAAAACTTTATTTGACCATAGAAAAATTCCATTTCCTCCTTCGTAGATTCTCTTTAATCTTTAATTTATTCGCTTCTCAAGCTGCCATAGTATAGTTTTTGATTGATCTCGAATTATTTTTGTTCTCTGAACGGCTTTGACTCCTTGTATCACCTTAAACTTTTGGCTTTCACTTTCAATTGTTGATTAAGGGTATCATGAGTTTCTGATGCATTTTTACCTTTTTTTTTGCCTTTTATTTAGTGATTTGGTGTTCAAGTATTCTACTGCTCAGTCAAGTTAGATATTCATATAATCTTCCAATGTATTTCTGCAAGTCTTTAACACTTTTTGCAAGCTGCTTCTACCAAGGAAAAGCTTGATATCTGTGTGTAGTAGTATTCCTAGGTAGTGCCACCTTTTCTCCTAGAGTATTTGTTGAGGAGACAGTCCCAGCATATACTGTTGTGTGCGTGTCCTGAAATGTCAAACACTGTGAGAGAACAATGATTTTTTTTGGTTGAATTTATCTATTAGTAGGATTCATGCCAACAAACTTAAAAAGGGCTTTTAAAAAATTCCATTCCATGTAGATTCATCTCCTTTTCAAAATTATTTGAGACATTAGCATTTTTATGCCATCTATTTCCTTATCATGTAACAATTTGTGAGTTTGTGTTGTGCAGATTTTTCATTACCTTGGTGTTCTTCATTTTTTTTTATCTTCAGACTGAAGTAGTCTTTCAATTTTTTTTTACTTCATCTTATCTAGGATTAGGAATGAAGTTATTTCTCATAATTACCCTGCATTAATCTATTGTAATATATTAATGTATAACTTGGAACTGAGGATATTATTGACAAAAAATGGTATTAAGCACTTTCCTATAAGTAGTATGATCTGTTTTGTTTTGATGTGATATTAGCACACAATAATTATATGTATATCTTCAGTTTGTTTTATGAGCACCTGTGCTTTTTCTAAATTAGTGTCAGGGCTAATTGGATGTATGTATGTCCAGTAGGTGGGTATTCGGGAATTATTTTAAGGTTTCTTGTCTTTTTGTGGTACCAGAACACTAAAAAGTGCTGGTGGCTCCACCACTATTTGTGTCAAGCTGATCATCACAATGATTCCAAGTACAGTTATTATTATTATCATTATTATTCATTTTATTATGTGATTATTATTACTCTAACTCCACATATCTAACCTTAATAAATATTTTTATAATACTAATGACCGCAACTTTACAGAAGGTTTTTAAATGAATTTATGCTACAGCTTGCAATGCATTTGTAAAAACAAGTGTTTCTAAGAGCAAATACATTAGGATTTATAAGTTCTAAAGGACTTAGCAGACCAGCAATCCCTTAAGTCGATTAAGCTATTAAGGGAGACAAGTAGAGTGAGTCTTTCAGTCTGATTGCATTTCTGTGACTAGTGTGATCTCTTCTGAGTGATGCAATGAAGGCAACAGGCATTCTCTTCCCTTTGCTTTTCAGGTTTTTATTTCTTAGCCAAAGGAGAACAGCTTGTCTTAATCATGTGAAGACTTCTTTATGATCAATTCATGTAGCAGCCTTGCTTTTTCAATTAACTTTTGCTAAATGAGCCTTGTTCATTTGAATTTTTAGTTGGCCGTGCCTATATCAAAGCCACCCTTAATTGAAAATATGAGGAATTAAAAAGGTTAATGGCTGGAGGGAAAGGACGATACTAATAATTGCTTTTTAAAAATTTCCCATCTCTGTTGAAAAGAGTAGGATTGTTACAAATTCACTGTTAGATCATGCTATAAATTTTACAGTAGCAGTGGAGGACAATGGAAGGAAAGTTAGAGTTGGAGTCAGAAGACTAGGGCTATAATCTCAGCTCTGTCACTTATTATCTGTGACCTTGAATTAGTCACTTCTTACTTTCTTCATCTATAAAGTGAGGGAGTCAGAATCAATTATTTCTATGTTCTTTTCTAATCTAAATTGATGATTCTGTGACCTTAACAATCAATAAATGTTAGATTTACTTTTATTTAGATGTATGGTATCTCTTAGAGAAATAACATGCAAGGGGAGAAATATTGAGATTTTTAGATTTTATAAATTATGCTTGCATTTTGCTTCACAGTCTTCTAATTCACATGTTATTCTGTATTACAGTTATCTGTGCAAAAGACTGGAAGAAAAAGCATTGATTAAGTACTTACTATGTGGCAAATGCTATGCTAAACATTGAGGATACAAATAGAAAACATGAGACAGTTTCTACTTTCAGGGAGTTTATAATCTAATTGGGGAAAACAATACGTAAGAGAAAGTTTAACGATAGGATGGATGGAGAGGCTCAGATATCCTAGGGGTGCGTCAGTGGTTCAAGGCTCAGCGGTCGGTCCTTTGGTTACAGAAGTAGGTCATAAGATAGGACTGGGGGACCACAGGACATGGTTACAGGACAGATGTTAAGTCCTAGAGGACCATGGGAGGCAATGACAAAGATCCCCTATCTCATCTGAAGGAAAGGAGCTGTTGATTTCAATCTCATCCAACCTGTGCATCGAATCAACCCACTCAGCAGCTGCAGGGAATGGAGGAAAGCAAGGGGATGAGGGTATTAAGATTGTAAACAATATGTGGGCAAGGACTGTATCTCACTTAAACTTTATAACGCCCAGTAATGGCACAGTGTTCTTCAAAAAAGTGGGCAATTAATGACTACTTATTGAATTGAATTCTCATGTGTACATTTGCCATCTTTACGCACCAAGTTTATCAGGTGGGTCTACTGATGCTAATAAATTGGAGTGCTTAAACTTTGTTTTGGACTTAAGATTCCCTTTCTTTTTTGTCTCCCCCTAATGTGGCTCTGTAGGGTTGAGGATAAAGTTAGGAATATTCCCCTTAACCTCTAAAAGGCTAAAAGGTTGGGGATTAGAAGACAGTAAAAAGAGAAAAAGAGTAGGGATTCCTTTCTGTTGAGAGAGGGGAAAACCTTCCTCAGTCCAACAATGCTCTCACACAGGTCCCTTGTTTTCTTCCTTTTCCAACTACATTTATTTCCATTTTGAATCTTAACGGGCACCAGGATTTTCTTGAGTGCCACTCCATCTAGATAAAGTGGATGAATAATGTAGCTGGAAGAAGGATATACACATACAGAGGTCTCTCAAACATATCGTTCAATTTATGTTTTAATATCTTAAAATATTTTTATCTAACTTATTATATTAATATTTAGTAATATTAATATCCATTAATATTTTAATATCTTTAAATTAAAGTGATAATAGAGCTGATAATAACTAACATTTATAGAGTACTTACAATGTGCTTGCAATGTGCCTGGCACTTTGCTAAATGCTTTATGATGATCTCATTTGATCCTCACAAGAACCCTGGGAGGGAGGTGCTATTATTATCCTCATTTTACAGATGATGAGACTAAGGCAAAGATTAAGTGACTTGTCCGGAATCACACAGTTAAGTGTCTGAGGCAGCATTTGAATTCAGGTCTTCCTAATTCTAGACTGGGAGCTCTATCCATTGCACCACCCAGCTGCCTATTCCTCTTCATCCACTCACTCTTTTTGTTAAGTAGATCCATGGAAATAAGAGGAGGGAAGAGTAGAATGATCAGGGCTAGAAGAAGCCTTTAGTGGGGTAAAAATGCCTAACTCCTCCCTCCTCAAACAGATCTAATAATTATAACAAAAGATCACATTTATATACTGGACCCGGATGGCTCCGGAGGAGAAAGTGAGGCTGACGACTTTGCACAGCCCTGCCTCACTTAAAGCCAATTCACTTGCATGTCATGGCATCACCTTCCTGATGTCATGGTCCTTTTCGAGAATGAATGACAGACAGCAATATGGCTTGCAAAATGCTTTTCTCACAACCTAACAAGTTAGGTAATACAAATATTGCTGTTCTCATTTTACCAATAAGGAAATGGAGACCCAGAGAAATTAAATAATTTGTCCGTAGTTGTACAATAGCCCACAATGCTGTAATTTAAAAAAAACAACATATTTTTGAACTCTGGGAAATGTCATGGTATTTCACAAGTTGAGCTAAACTTTCTAAGGTTTTTTTTTTTAATGTGTGAAATTACTTTTTTTTCCTCCCATATTTTAGGCAGTGTCATGTGGAGAAAGAAGCATGGATCAGGAAAAGAAGCCTAGACTTGGAATCAGAAGATGGTGGTTTGAGTCCCTGCTGCAAAACACTGAATCTTTCTGGTCCTCAGTTTCCTTATCTTTAAAATGGGGACAATGATATACACACTACTTACTTCACAAGGGTCGTTTTAAGGAACATATTTTGTAAGCCATAATAACTCACAAGAAAGTGTGAGTTATTATTATTAGTATTCATTCTGTGTGAAAATATTATTTCTGAATTAATTTCTTTTCTCTTTCACTTCCAAATTATCACAAGTCTTATCCACATTCTATAGCAATCATAGACCACACTGGCAAGAGAAATAGCACAGCTATTGCCACCTATAGGCAGAAAATGTATTATGTTTAATGTAGTCTGACCTGGATAAAGAACAGTAAAGAAAGGAAAGAAAGCTTTTTTTATTAAAATCCTCTAAACCTCTATTGCCAACTTATTTTAGACAATATCTTAACATTGGGCTTCTTTGCTATAAATATTAAGATGAATCCTGATATGAAACAGTTAAATTTCTCTTGCCTTCATATTTGTGGCTATACAGGCTAATTTTAGTGTAGCTGTGTAATTCGGTGCTCTTTTCCCTTTTAGAATTATTGTAGGGGGCAGCTAGGTGGCGCAGTGGATAGAGCACCCACCCTGAAGTCAGGAGGACCTGAGTTCAAATCCAGCCTCAGACACATAACACTAACTGTGTGACCTTGGGCAAGTCACTTAACCCCATTGCCTAACCAAAAAAAAAAAAGAATTATTGTACATTAAAAAATTTTAAATGCATAATACACCTTTATTTGAATTTTTTTTGGTTATTGTTCAATCATTTTAGTCACATCTGACTCTTCGTGACCCCCTGAGAGGTTTTCTTGGCAAAGATACTGGATTGGTTCGCCATTTCCTTCTCAAGCTCATTTTACAGATGAGGAAATTGAGGCAACCAAGAGACTTGCCCAGGGCTGCCACACAGCTAGGAAGTATGTGAGGCCAGATTTGAAATCAGAAAGATGAATCATCTGGACTGTAGGTCTAGCACTCTATCCATTGCACCACCTAGCTACTCAAAGTTGTTTTTTCATGAATGCTTTAATGCATATTTTATTTATTAAATGTCTATATATGCATAGGTATACATGATACACAGATTATGTTAGGCACTGACAGGAAATATGGCTTAGAGCAGCGGTGAGGAGCCTGTTGGCCTCAAGGCCACTTGTGGCCCTCTGGTTCCTCAAGTGTGGCCCTTTGATTGAATCCAGATTTCACAGAACAAATCCCCTTAATGAAAGGATTTGTTCTGTGAAACTTGGATTCAGTTAAAAGGCTGTGCTCTAGGACCTAGAAGGCCACATGTGGCCTCAAAGCTGCAGGTTCCCCACCCCCAGCTTAGTGAATACAGAGTCTGCCTCAAAGTCAAGAGACACTGGGTTCAAGTCCTATCTCTGACTTACGATGATTTTGAGATCCATGGAAAGTCATTCAGCCTTTCAATGCTATCAGCCACTCTCTGAAATTACATAAATTTCAGAGCAAGTGCTAATCTGCCTTGGTCAATGAAGTTTTTCTTATCAAAAGTTCCCTATACCAGTGAAATAATAACTGGTCCAGTCCTGTTATTAGATACATTAAATATATTTATCTATATCACACATATGTATAAAAACTCATATATAACTAAAAAAGATGTTCAAGTACAATATGATACCTACATAGTAAATATTTAATGAATTTCAGAATTATGTATTGTAAATACATAAATATACTTCTGATTATAGTTACCTATTGTATTATTATAATTATCCATTATATTATCTTAAAATTTGAGGATTTTTTTTGAGCTACAGCAGCTTATAAAAGGTGTCTACTAAGGCATGGATGGAGTTGAAATCTGCATCTGTGGCTGGAGTTCCCAAATCAGTGAAGTCATCAGATCCTTTAAGTGTTGAAATGATATTTATTTTATCTATAGCATTATAATTTCTCTGCTTGATCAATACCTACATTTCTCAGATATAGAATTTTCCTAACTTCCAAATTTATATTCTGCCTTATATGATTATTTGTATGTTATCTTCCTACTTGACCATAGATAGGTCCTGATTAGCATGAATAATGAATCCCTTGAAGTGGTCATATTTAATTAAGTTCACACTATTCAAAGTTATGATTACACACAATATGGTAATTTGTTCAAGCCCAATGGATATATATGTATATGTATGTTTTATATATATATATATATATATATATATATATATATATATATATATATACACACACACACACACACAACACACACACACACACACACACACACACACACATCTATCTATCCATCCATCTATCTATCTATGTGTCTATCTATCTATCTATCTATCTATCTATCTATCTATCTATCTGTTTTTACGTGTATATGAGTGTGTGGCAACCATTTTAGGAGATTCTTTATCTGAGGTAATCAAGACCCAGCTTTATAATCTCTTCGAAGCCAGTTTTGACTTTGTACCCAGTGAAAGGTTAGTACAGTGCTTTTCAAATAGCAGGTGCTAAGTATTTATTAAATTGCATTATATTCAATGCAAAGAGATTAAATATTCCTGTTCTATAGATATGGTTGGGATGCTCATAAATGCAATTTCAAAGGCTTGGGCTTAATATTCAGATTATGTGTATATATATATATGTGTGTGTGTGTGTGTGTGTGTGTGTGTGTGTGTGTGTGTGTGTGTGTGTGTATGCACATATATGCATTTTGTTGATCTCTTATGAACACTGGGCTTTTCGGCTTGGAGGCCAAGGTAAAAAGACTTAAAGTGTTCCTTTAGGGAACATCTTAAGGATGACAATGTTCTTAAGTGGAAAGAATCTTACAATGAGAGTCAGGAGAATTGGTTCTGGTCCCAACTCTGATGCTCTCTCTCTAAAATGTAAAAGGCACTGCCTTGAAGTTTCTTTCTGACTCTGGAGTCCAGTGAATTCTGTACTTCTTGATTCAGCAGAGGCACAAAGGAACTAGATTTTTCCACACCCCCCCCACAAAAAAAAGAGGAAGGAAGGGTTTTTTTTAAAACTGTGAATATAGATCATGGAGAAATGCCACTGTCAGTTGGCATAGCTTTGCCTTTTTGTATCCCTGAAGAGCTCCTTAATCTTCAGTAAAAATAAAATGACTCATATAACAACCAAACCTTCTTAGCTGAAGACAGTTTTTAAAAGTATTTGGTGTAAGCATGCCTGCTTTAAAATGAATGAAATTGGAAGCAGAAAGACATAAAATCCTATTTAAATTCAGTTTCATTAGGTTGTTGAAATCTCTCTTGCCAAAGGTGTTTTATAGTGTGCTGAAAACAGTCATGTTGTCTCTTTGGAAATGGGATGGATAAACAGGAGTAGTGTATAACTGGACTCATCTCACACGTTGACGTTGTCCTCAGGATATGCTGCACAGCTGGGCTGTAATTTTCCTAGGATGTACTCTGCAGGGACAGCTGCCCTTATTGAAGGTTTTCATCTAAGGCCACGTGCTGACCTGCCACCCCCATGTTTTTCACACACCATTTTCTGAAGGATTTTTTTTGCCTTGGAATCAGAATAGGATATATTGTCTGAACCTTGTCTCAGAATCCCCTGATGATGCTCAACTTTGTTATGATGATTAAATGCAACTTACAGAATTATCATTGGAAAATAGCTCTGTTTTATCTTTTAAAAAATTTTTATTTTTAATTTATGGAATAAAACAAGCATTTCCATAGCATAGTACAATAAAAAATGATTATATATGAAACTGCAAATCTATTACACGCAACTTGCTTTCAAGTATATAACAAAATTATCATGTAAATTTCTTTTTTTCTTCCTTCCCCCAACCCACCCTGGAGATGGCTACCGATAGACACAAATAAGTATGTGTATGTAAAAATATTCTATATATGCTTCTATTTATCAAGTCTTTCCCTGGATACAGATAATGACTTTCTTCATATATCCTTTATAATTATTCTGGATATTTATAATAGTCAAAGTAATTTATTTGCTCAGTCATTCTTAAAACAACTTGCTGTTACTGTATACAATGTTCTCTTGGTTCTGCTCATTTGGCTCTTCATTATTTTGTGTAAGTCTTTCCATGTTTTTTTCTAAAATCATTGAGCTTAAATCATTGCTTTATCTTAAACAACGGCTGCTTGTTCTTGCTCACATTCCCCCCACTCTATTTCCTTCTATTCAGTTGCCAAATCTAGTCATTTCTTTCTCTACAACATCTCTGTTCTCTGTCTCCTTCTTTCCACTCACACAACCATCATCCTATTTCTGGCCCTCATGACTTCTTGCTTAGACTATTGTAATAATCTTTTAATTGTTCTCCCTTGCTCAAGACTCTTCCCATCCACTCCAATCCATCCTTCATTCAGCTGTTAAAAAGATCTTTCTGAAATTTTGGTCTGTCCATTTCACCTACCCACTCGATGAACTGCAGGAGCTCCCTCTTGCTTCTGGGATAAAATTTAAAGCCTTCTGTTTTACGTTTGAAGCTCTTCACAACCTGGCCCCTTCCTGCCTTTCTGATCTTACATTCTACTTTCCTGTACAAAGTCTATAATCCACCATATTAGATTTCTTACAACTCTTCATGTAGTATACTCCATTTCCTGTCTTTCTTCATACCTAGAAGGCCTATTTCCAACTTCTGATTCTTTGAATCTCTGGTTTCCTGTAAGAATCAGTTCAAGTGTCAACTCTTCCAGGAGTCCTTTCCTTGTCCTAACACTTGCTAGGGCCTCCCCTCTGGTTACTTTCTATCAATTCTGTATTTATCTTATATGTTCATAGATGTGTACATATGTTTGTATGTGTTTATATATATATGTGTGTGTGTGTGTGTGTGTGTGTGTGTACACACACACACACACACACACACACACATATATTTCCCACCATTAAAAAGTAAGCTCTTTGAGGACAGGGACTGATTTTGTTCTCTCTCTCTCTCTCTCTCTCTCTCTCTCTCTCTCTCTCTTCTCTCTCTCTCTCTCTCTCTGTCTCTCTCTCTTTTTCTCCCTCTCTCTTTTTCTCTCTCCATATCTACACATATACATATACATAAACATATACACATACATACATACACACACACTGGGGTATATGGCTTATATATAGGTGTGTGTGTGTATATATATGTATATGTATGTGTGTATATATAT